TTTCCCCCAACTCCTCATGTCGCCTTTTTCTCTTCCTCACTCGATCCGTTTGCATTATTTGCCCGATTCGGAAAGTCCGAGAAATCATGCTGGAGCATAAGAAACAGGAGTCAGGCAAAAATGCAAAGTTCTTCGCGGCTGAGACGATTGAGAGTAGGCGAATGTCTCTACTCCGCTCAACTAGTATGAGAAATGGATTTTCTTTCTACGTCAAATCAACGAAACATCTACGTTTGATATTTCTCACTGGGCCTATCCGTGGCAGACCAACGTTCCCTACAGTTTCCTCGGGGGCCGCTTATTGGCGTTGACTGCTACCCACATTCACCGGCAGCGCACGCCGCGTACGTCCGCCCATGTGTCCTGTGTCCTGTTCGCCATGACGTCCCCAGTGCGAGTGGGTCGCACAAACCACGCCATGCTCTGTGGGGTATGAATGCTGCATTGCTTGCAGACTGGGGTAAGGGGCCGACGTCTAGTGGTACCGCTTCTTGCCGAAGGCCGTCGATCGGTGCGTTCCGTGATAGGGCTCTCTGTGCTATCGAGGTGTGGTTGTTCTACAACACACTCTGAGCTGAGCGCCTTTCTCCTCCCTCCCCACCCTCTCCGGACGTGGAACTCTCTCCGGCATCGCGGCTGGCAGCTCCAGTAGGGTAGATACAGAAGGATACCCTGTGCATCTTTAGGCGTGGGCCGCATGCAGGAGGCGTGTGATGATGGGTTGCCCGCACTTGCTCGCACCGAGAAACTGGTACCCTTGAAACAAGGCGAGTGCGTTGCTTCAGCGCTATTTTTACCTCAAAAATACAAAGAAAATTGTCTTGAACTTCAAATGACGTCAAAATAAAGTAAAAAAATTCTTTAGACTGCCTTAGTTTTCTTGAAAACAATGGAAAAACATTCAACCAAGGTCAAAAATTACATTGTATTTTTTTATTTTTTAAAAACATTCTTTGGTTTAAGGATACCACTTCTGGGTGCGATATGCCCACGCGCGGCAGAGTGTAAAGGAAGAGGGGAAACATGGGGGTGAGTGTGGGACACCCTAGATTTCTGTAGACGCGAGATCGGATGAGTGCGCAGTAGAGGTAATGCTCTCGCACCCCAGCTGGGGTGAGGTGCGGGGGTGGGCGCAGGGTCAGGAGCAAGGTGAGCCGTGAGCTCCCGCCCCGACTGGGAGGGGGTCTGGAACGTTCTGTTATGAATGACCCGCTCGCTGGCGCCTCGCTGCCACCCCTTCCCGCCAGAGCCTCCGAGCCTCCCACTCCCTCCCTAT